TAAACTTTTTAATAATATTAAGAGACGATTAGCAACAAAAAGTTTAATAATTTATGTTTAGTAGGGTTCAAATTTATATCCTTTAACTTTTTTTTCTAAATTAGAGAGGGCCTCATTAGTCATTAACCTCTCGTAACTTGATTAAATCAAGATGGTGAAGGGAGGATAAAAGTAATATATATATATTATTACTTGTTTTTCTAACAATTTTTACTAGAGGGAGGAGAAACGAAAGTTTGCTTCTGATTGATATTGAACCTATAATTTATGGGAGAGAAAATGTATAAACTGGAAGCTTTTAACCACATACTCTAAAGATCATTGACAAAATAAATATCGGCAATTAATAAACACATTTTATAATGACAACCCTAACTAAAAGTATTGCTCCTAATGCATAAGTGCATGAGTTCGATATGAGAATGAACTAACATAAGATACGAAGATATGGATGACCCAAACTAAAATGAGCAATACACACATTTTCTAATGACTACCGTATATTGGCAAAAGGTGATAATTACTTTTGCTATTATCTTTATATCTCTCCATGCATCATCATGCATGAAGCCACTTTTGGAGCACAAAAACAAATACAATCCACAACGTGAAAGATGAAAGAAAGCTTATAGATGAAGGAACACTTCTTCCACTAAAACCCTAAAAATATATATGCAATATAATAACAACAAAAAGCAAAGAATGAAGGAATAATGATGATGATAATAATAATAAACAAAAGCCCTCTCTCCTCCCCACCTCTCTTACCTGTCCTTCTGCGTCTCCTCTCCTTTCTTGGCCTCCAGTATTCCCCCCAGTGCATGGATTCTCTACCTTATTAAAGAACCCATCAAACTTTATAAAAGAAATTTCTAAATATTAACAATGGTTTTCTCATCTATTCCAATCTATTTAGATCCTCCCAACTGGCAGCAGGTAAGGGTTTTTCTTTTCTTCATCAATTTCTATCCATAGTTTGTGGCTTTGTGCTCCCAAAGTAAAGCAAATTCAAAAGATAAATATTCCTATTCCTTTGTGATCTTTTTATTGAATATACCAACTATTTTTTTCTTCTTTTTTCACAATTGTAAAAATTTACTTTGGTTTTTGGGCTTTGGTTTGTTTTTGTAGCAGCATAATCATCAACATGGAACTGGTACAGGTAGTGAAAATCTTCAGCTTCCACCTCTTCCTCCACCTTCTCATGTTGGAGCTGCTGGTGGTGGTGGCGGCGGCTCCATTAGGCCTGGTTCAATGGCTGATCGAGCCAGGCTAGCAAAAATTCCACAGCCAGAGGCAGCCCTGAAATGTCCGAGGTGTGAGTCCACTAACACCAAGTTTTGTTACTACAATAACTATAGCCTTTCACAGCCACGCCACTTTTGCAAGACGTGTAAGCGGTATTGGACAAGAGGGGGTGCCCTTAGAAATGTTCCGGTCGGTGGAGGATGCCGAAGAAACAAGAAAAACAAGGGCAGTAGCAGTAGCAGCTCGAAATCCACTGCTTCTGCCGAGAATCAAGGACAAGGTGGTTCGAATTCAACAAATGCTGTTAATATTCCTTCTGAAATCACAGGTCATTTGCCACAGAAAACGCCTCATTTGTCCTTCATGGCTTCTTTGCAAAGTTCTCCTCAGTTTGGTTTGGGAAATATTGGATTAAACTTTAGTGGAATTCAAGGGGCAACAACTGGCAGTGCACAAGCTGAGATGGGATTTCAGTTAGGAGCTCATCAGCAGTTCCCTTTGTTTGAGCCAACTAATGGTTTATACTCATTTCAAAGTGAGAGCATGGGAGGATCATCTTCCATGGTGGGAGAAAGCCACCTTCTCCGTTCCATAGCTTCAAGCTCTAGGGTTTCTCAGCTAGACCCAGTGAAAAGGGAGAACAACAACAACCAAGGGCTAAATCTATCAAGATCAGTGATGGGTGGTGTTTCGGAGAATAATCAGTACTGGGGAGGAAATAATTGGACATATTTATCAGGTCTCAACTCTTCTAATACTAATCATATCTTATAGTTGGTTTCAATATTTCTTCATTGACAGCAGCTTAAAGCTTTAATGACAGATGTTAGTTGACATAAAAGTTGCAGTGTTCCCTTGATCACCTTGACTCGCTCACAAGCTTCTACATCCGAAACACAAAGATTGGCGGAATTGATGTTTTATGTTTGATAGTATATATATTGAGTTTTATTAAGGTATTTGTTTGGTTATTTAGTTTGCATGGAGCTTGTTTACTGATATGCTCTCTCTGTTTATGTGTGAAATTAAGGGATCTGTTATCTGACATTAATATAAGCTAATTTCCCTCTTGAAATATCCCATCTCCCATGCTTTTCTATCCATTTCTATTCTATCATGCAAGTGAAGTTAAGATTTATAGCATGTAAGGCATGTCACCTTCCTCTCGCTTATGGGTTTGATTGAACTCGACTCCGAACTTCATCGACCTTCCCATGAACCGTAAACTGTTTACCTCAGGCCATGCATATCCAGAGATAGACTGAACAGTGATGGGTTGCGGTCCTTAGAAATTTTAAAATCCTATATAGTTTAGATATTTATTTGTATTTTTTATTAATAATTTAATTTTTCATTCTTAAAATTTTATAATTTCGTATATCTACATTTTTAATATAACTTCTTAAGTTTACATCCGTGACAATCATATGGTTGCGCTGGTATGTGTGCATATCCAAGGTTGTGCACTAGACTACAGTGGTTGAATGAACAAAAACATTGGCTTTTCAGTCTTCTTCTTACACAAATTCTGACTCGTCCTAGCTAGTGGGAATTTACTTGTCCAATGATTTCATATTTATATCAAGCATCATTATGAGATATATCCTAAATTTTTTTGCCTTAAAACAAAAGAAAAAGAAAGGAAATCAAAGGGGATGTTTGCTTTTCCTCTTTGCAGGGACCAAAGGCCACTGCCTTACATCAACGAATAAAGCAATTCTTACGATAATTTCAAGGGGGAAAAACAATTTGAAAATGACATTAATGCATAACATGTTAATATTTAGACTGATATAACGTTTATTTTACAAATGCTTGTGCTTATAAGCACATGCCAATCTAATATTTTTTTATTAATTAAAAAAAATAACAGGATAATTATACAAAAGTGGTAGCATATGGACATGAAAGAAAATGTGTACGTAACTGTACTATAGTGTATTGGTCCTAGAAAAGTTGGAAGAAACAGTTAGCAATCAAAGAGAAATTATGTGAATCGTGATGACGAAAATGTGTGTGGGGGGGGGGGAATTGGAATTGGAAAGCGAAAAGAAAAGCTCAGATAAAGAAAGGGAGAGATAGTGGCAGTGACGGTGACTGACGGATTAGATATTATTGATCTTTAAAGTTGTATTATTACATATTAAGATTTTGAAGTTATGGTTCACATATTTTAAAATGTGTAATAAGTTTTATAACAAATAATTTATATATTTTAAACTATATATTAGTCATCAAACAACTAACTTCCTACTTCTCAAATAAACCATCCTACCTCTATATAAAATTTATTATTATTTTGAACATTATTTTAAAAAGAGAAGAAAATTTTTCTATTACTTAGCCGGAAAGATATATGACTATGAAGTATGAAGTAGGCATTAAGTGAAACAAAATTAAGTTATATTTTTTTTATTAATCAAAGATGTTTATAAGATAATATTCGTTCTAAAAATTCTTTATCATTCGACAATGAGAGTTCACATCCTTGTGGACTCTGTTGCTTGAACCTGAAATCTTTAAGGATAATAATTATATTTTAATCATTAAAGTAATTTGGTTCGTACAAATTAAATTACAAAAATAAGTCGTGAAAATACATATATATATCTTTCATATTTTAAACTTTAGCTCTATGGAATAAGCTAAGGCTGAAACATGAGGGGAAAAAATCTTAACTCAAAACACTATGAATGGAAGATATGAACTGCCGATTTTACATAGGTAAGGAAACTAAAAGTTTTATCTATTTAATCATTGATATTTTAAATTAGTATGATATAATCATCGTTCCCTAATTAAATAATTAATAAAAATAATAATGAAACATCTTTTTTTGTTGATATATTAATGTTTAAGTTAAAATATTTTTAAATCTTGAAATATTTAATACGGATTATAAAAACATTATGAGGACATCGTTATTAATTTTTATTTAAAAAATGTAAGGGTAAAGTACACAGATGTTCCCTTGATTACATGATACTACTTTATTAAGTCCTCCAATTATTAAAAGTTACAAAATAGTCTCCCAACTATTAAAAATTATAAAATAGTCTCCCAACTATTAAAAATTACAAAATAGTCTCTCGATTATAGGGCACTACTTAGTTGAGTCCCCCAATTATTAGAAGTTTCAAAATATGTTCCAAACTCATCAGTTTTTGTTCAACCGTCTGAGATGGACGTTAACCAGTTGACTGAAACATGATAAAATATGATCTGAAAATCATTTGAGTTGTATTTTATGGATCGAGTCTACGATTACATTATGTCATCGAGTCAATACTTGAAAGCAACGACGGTGCCAATAGAAATCATTAAAATATAATTTTATCATATCTCAGTTAGTATGTTAACGTCCACCTTAGATGAATGTCAATTATTTAACAGAAAAGGACGAGTTTAGAATATATGAATAGTTTAGTGACTATTTTGTAACTTTTAATAGTTAGAATATTAAAAAAGTAACAATCTATAGTCGACAGACCATTTGTATACTTTACCCAAAATTTAAATTATTTATTGAATTTTCCTACGTTATGTGATAAGTGGAAGGGAAACCGGGTTTACAGGTTTTGGAACGCTGTTGAAGCGCTCCGTCACTCACCTAAGAAAGGAGAATAACCGTAGGATCCGGTAAAACAGTTGAAAAAGTTTTTCCCGCTACATGTTTTAAATTTCAGACTGCGTTTCATTTACAAGTTACCTTTTCCTTATTCTATTGGAACTCCTGAGGCGGGTAGTTCAGATCATCTTTCTCGTTGTTGTTTTTTTTTACTTTTGCAGGTAATTTCTCTTTACATTCTCTTTGGTCCCTGAGAAAAATATAGGGGAAAAAAGGAAAAATAATACAATAAGCGAATATTTCAGGTTCCCGTTTTCTCATGTAATATTACGATTCTTGATTTTTCGATATGTATTCGATTGGCAGTCTTATAAGTTCGCGGGAATTGCATGTATCCATTCTGATTGTTTCGATCTTTGGTAATTTTTTTTGTTTCCTAGCTTCTATTGATGCCATATACGGATGTTTTGTGATTTCGATTTTGCTAACGATCCTTGAATTAGCTTTTTCTTTCTTCCGTATTTTTGCGATTCTAATTATCTTATCAAATAAAAAGCTAAAAATATTTAGAATGTATGATCATATGAAGGTATCTGTTCTATGATTAGTCATAGCTTTTCTTGAACAAAATGCTTGTGATGGATTATTTATAGTGGACTAGGAATTTTGTCTTGAGTTTTAACTTTCAAATTTCTCGGTAACGTGAATGATTTGTTCATATATCTTGGCTCATAATTGATTTGAATCATTCTGGTTTAATTGTGGTTTGTGAATTGCTTCTCTTATTGTTGTGCTGTTGATCTAAATCCCGACGTTTTAGTTAATACAAGATGGCAGATGGTGAGGATATTCAACCACTTGTCTGTGACAATGGAACTGGAATGGTCAAGGTATCAGTTTTGGATACACTTTCTTTCATGTTTTACATATGATATTTTCTTATGACGTGTTTTGCTTTCTCTAGGCTGGATTTGCGGGTGATGATGCTCCAAGGGCCGTGTTCCCTAGCATTGTGGGCCGTCCGCGTCACACTGGTGTGATGGTTGGCATGGGTCAGAAAGATGCATATGTTGGGGATGAGGCTCAGTCCAAGCGTGGTATTCTAACTCTTAAATATCCAATTGAACACGGTATTGTTAACAACTGGGATGATATGGAAAAGATCTGGCATCATACCTTCTACAATGAACTTCGTGTGGCTCCAGAAGAACACCCGGTTCTGCTCACCGAGGCACCCCTTAACCCAAAAGCCAATCGTGAAAAAATGACCCAGATCATGTTTGAGACCTTCAATGCTCCGGCCATGTATGTTGCTATCCAGGCTGTTCTCTCCCTTTATGCCAGTGGTCGTACAACTGGTAAGAAAACTTTTACTACCCTTTGACCAAGTTACTCAGATTCAAGGGTAAGTGTCTGAAGTCTGATACGGTATACTCAATAACATATAAGCTTTTCATATATTTGAAGGGTTAGAGTTGGACCTTCATACCCTTTATTTAGATATGTGTTGGACACATGTACTTAAAATAAAATGAAGAGTCCGAGCAACATAGCTCTTAGTCTCTTAGATAAAAACTTGATTTAAACAATTTCAAAGTCAAATTTGCAATTTGGTTAAAGATATTCTTGATATCATGCATGGTTGTTTGTCGATTATAAGGGGAATATTCCAAGTTGGTTCACATTTCTCCCTATTTTCTTGTTTCGATTGATATTGGGTTCATTTAGTCATTTTTCATGTTAAAATGTCTTCGTGGTCCGACACTATAACCTATATTTAGAACATAGAAGGACTTTGCTCATTTTTCATCTGCTAACCATTCTCAAACAATCCTTGATGTAGGTATTGTTCTGGACTCTGGAGATGGTGTGAGCCATACTGTCCCCATTTACGAAGGATATGCTCTACCTCATGCCATCCTCCGCCTCGACTTGGCTGGTCGTGACCTTACTGACGCCCTCATGAAAATCTTGACTGAGCGTGGTTATTCATTCACCACTACAGCAGAGCGTGAAATCGTGAGGGACGTGAAAGAGAAGCTGGCATATATTGCACTCGACTATGAGCAAGAGCTAGAAACTTCCAAAACTAGTTCTTCCATTGAGAAGAGCTACGAGTTGCCCGATGGCCAAGTGATCACCATTGGGTCTGAGCGCTTCCGGTGCCCGGAAGTCCTTTTCCAGCCTTCCATGATAGGAATGGAAGCTGCCGGCATTCATGAAACCACGTACAACTCCATCATGAAGTGCGATGTGGACATCAGGAAGGATTTGTATGGAAACATAGTTCTGAGTGGTGGAACTACCATGTTCCCAGGAATTGCTGACAGGATGAGCAAGGAAATCACTGCCTTGGCCCCAAGCAGCATGAAAATCAAGGTGGTGGCTCCACCTGAAAGGAAATACAGTGTCTGGATTGGAGGCTCCATCTTAGCATCTCTCAGCACTTTCCAGCAGGTATTATCTACTCATTATGCTGACCACATAATGCATATAGTTGTTAAAGAAATTGTTTAATTAATTGCACATGAACTGAACACCATTCATACATTTCCTCATTTTGATTGGAATGCAGATGTGGATTGCAAAGGCAGAGTATGATGAATCTGGCCCATCTATCGTGCACAGGAAGTGTTTCTAACTCTTGAGAGCGCAAGAGCAGCAAAAACAATGCCTTGTTTTGTTTGGTATTTTAATTTATGCCATTTCTCTTATTCTTTTATTCCTTATCTTATTTTTTGTAATATTCATATTGTCGGGGAAAAATGAACCAAGAACGGCGGAGATGACTATAGAGCTGATAATTCACTTTGTTTTTATTTAACCGTTGTTGAATGTTTTTCCCATTCAAGACCTGCCTAAGGAAATGAATGAATTCAGAGTTATTCTTGTTAAATTCTCTCATGTAGTAAAGAGATACCTATCTTTAATAGCGTTAAATTGGACACACATCTCGATTATAGTTTGATATGTGATATTATATAATAATACTATTCTACTTAATAAATAAATGATTATTAAATTCAAATAAAAATAAATTATGACACTCTCTCAATTAAGGAGTACAATTGTTATTCTTCAGGAAACTACTACTTTCTGTTAGCAAAGATCTTCATATAGATTTCATGTTTATTGGAGCCTTCAAAAAGCACGCATCCTTCAAGCACAAATCTCAGAGTTAACTACAATGTATAGATCAGACTTCTATAGGTTCAAAGTAAAATTCAATATGTGATAATCAAATTTATTTAATCTACTTCTACAAATAATTATTATAACTCTATATCAGACACCATTACTATAAATACTCAACAATTATAATTGAGAAAGGATCATGGCCTCTATAATCTCCGTACAATATTTTTCTTCTCTTCTTCCTTTTAACTTTTTCAGTTTGAGAATGTAGAAGTCACTGGTGGAGAGATGTTTTAATGACTGTGTTGACAACTTCACTTGCGGAAGCAGGAGAAAACCTGTGTCACTTGATGCGCGGCGTAGGCATGAGGTTTGCGGAGCTCAACTCCCAGGCGGCAACACAAGATTAAAGCTAATTAAACAACCATTCACTGAATGGAGCTCAAAGTAATTTTGCTTAGTGAGTAGAATTTTCTTTTCTATAATGGTCACCTAAATCCGAGCCTCACTCTAAAAATTTTATCAAAAGTTTTTAACTTATTTAAATTTCGATTTTAAAAAATATAACTTTATTAAGATTAGATTGGATTGAAATCCATTAATTTCAATTTTTTCCCATCCTTAATTAAGAGTATGTTCAAATATCTTGACATCTAAGATTAAAAAAAGTTCTATATTCACACCCGTTTTGTACCCATACAATAATTAGAGGAAAATGACGATAAAATAAGGATGTAGTGACAGACGAAATCAACAATGTTATTGTAAACCGAATTAAAAAGAAAAACATGAACTAAACGACTTTAATAATTAAAAGAATTGTTGTTATTTTTAAAGATCTCGTGTTTGAACATCAGTGACTAAGATATTTGTATTTCATTGTTAGAATATATATTATCACTTATAAGTACTCTAGATTGATCAAAAGAAAAAAAAATCATCGTAATAAGCATACTGATATGTAAGATATATTTAAAAATTGTACTTGAAAAAGAAAACTAGAATCTTAAAGGACTAAATTAGTAAAAATGGATGGAAATGGCATTATTGTTATTACCGGAAAACCTGTGCTCCACTCATATCTTCCCGACTATAAAATACCAGGGCGAAATCCCTCAACTATTTCCGTAAAATCTGATTACATAACTGTGGAGCTTTGGGTTCTCTCGTTTCCATCGCCAAACACAAAACTTTTTCATGGCCCGCAAATTCTTTGTTGGAGGCAACTGGAAATGCGTATGTTTCTTCCTCTTTCAGTCAAAACTTCACTTGATCTATGTTTCAACATGAACAGATCTGTCTGTTTTCAGCTATTGTTCGATACTGAAAACGTTTTCAAGCTGATGGGTACTCTAAATTGGTCTTAAGTTTTGAGATCCGATTGCTTTAAATGGGTTTTTAGTATCTTTCTTCTGATTATATACAAGTCAATGATTGGAGAGTTAATTTTGTTGCAGAATGGAACAACTGATGAAGTCAAGAAGATTGTGACCATATTGAATGAAGCTGAAGTTCCATCCGAGGATGTTGTCGGTTGGTTTTTTTTATTTGTCTGAAAACTTTACCAGACTTATACTTTGAACTGAAGAACTTACAATTTATGTTGTGGCAGAGGTTGTTGTGAGCCCTCCATTTGTGTTTCTTACTCTTGTGAAAAGCCTATTACGGTCTGATTTCCATGTTGCTGCCCAGAACTGTTGGGTTCGCAAAGGTGGGGCTTTTACCGGTGAAATTAGGTATGATTTTATGTTAGGCTAATGTTATGTAAGCTCTTTAGATCCCATCGTTGTCGGTGGCAACTTATTGCTAATCTTTTAACAGTGCTGAGATGCTTGTTAATTTGGGGATTCCATGGGTTATTATTGGTCACTCTGAGAGGAGGGCTCTCTTGAATGAGTCCAATGAGGTAAACGATGCGATTAGATTCCTATCATTTCATTAGTTTAAGGCTTGTTTTTGTTGTTTCTTTTAGTGAAAATAGTTATTATGATTATTACTAGTGAATTTATGTCTGATTGTTTATGTTTCGAATGTTTGTCTCTGCAGTTTGTCGGAGACAAAGTAGCATATGCACTTTCTCGAGGCTTGAAAGTGATTGCTTGCATTGGAGAGACACTTGAACAGCGAGAATCAGGCTTGACCATGGCTGTTGTTGCTGCACAAACCAAAGCAATTACCGGTACTTTCTTTTGAAAATCCAATTATTTGTTTCTCTGATGAACGTTGGCTTAAGTTTGTATTTATTTGACCAAGTTGGATTAGAATTTTGCATTTTCTTCATTTTGATTTATTTAACTGTTAATGCTCTTTTGCAGAGAAAGTGACAAACTGGGAAAATGTTGTTCTGGCTTATGAACCTGTTTGGGCCATTGGTACCGGGAAGGTTGCGACCCCTGCTCAGGCTCAGGAAGTAAGTTGGGATTCTTTTGCATATATCTTTCGAGACGAGTCTTCACCTTTGCATTGCATGCCTGTTAATTGTTTTGTCCTCTCATAAATACCGAATGCTATCATATAACTAACCGATAGTGGTATATGGATTTGGGATTCATATATCTAAGCTCGTGTCATTGGTTGCTCTTTTACTTGTGTATAGGGTAATCGTGCCCTCTATTGTTTTACTCAGAAATTTGTGATTGTATATTCCAGGTTCATTGTGAATTGAGGAAATGGCTTCATGACAATGTCGGTGCTGAAGTAGCTGCATCTACTAGAATCATATATGGAGGTATTTTACTTTACTGCCTATTGATCTTATCCTGGTGCTCTAATGATTTAATCTGATTTTGCATCCGTTGGAATATAAATGAAGGTTCGGTTAATGGAGCTAACTGCAAGGAATTGGCGGCACAGCCAGATGTGGACGGCTTTTTAGTTGGTGGAGCGTCTCTAAAGGTTAGTGATCTTTTTTCTCTCTTCCATTACTCCACGGTTGATTCATTAATTTGATGCATCGTCTTAACCACTGCAGCCCGAGTTCATCGATATCATCAAGGCAGCCACTGTGAAAAAGAACTGATCTGCCTTCTTGGAATTTATGATCTTTCATTAGGACCTGGTATCGGGATTCTGAGAATTATAAGCCAAATGTAACATTTGTTTGTTAAGCATAGATCCTCATTTTGAATTTTTAACTCTATATTTTCACATTGTCGTGGGTTGGAGAGACTGTTCCATGGATGTTTTTATAATAATCAGGTGGTCTGAGTGATTGAATCTTTTGCTCAATAAGCTACAATATTCTGATGTTCCACTACATTGACGACTTCAAAACAACTATTTGGATGGAAATGTAATGATTTAAAACCTTAAGGGTTCAAGGAATGTAAGATTCTCATGGGAATGAAATCTATATTCTCATGTTTGATTTGTCGGGAATCTCATTTCCGGTAATGTTTTATTACTAATAGTAGTTTTTTTGGTTATATTATCGAGAATGTCATTACCTCTCTTTCTTTAGATATTGTTGGATTATCGACGTTTTGGATTAAAATGTCCTTAATTTTTTTCTTTCAAAAATATCATTCTTCTGTCATTGAATAATAAAAATTCTACGAAGGTTAAATTACAAATTTATTCTTAAATTATTTTAGATTTACAAAAAAAAAATCTATAATTGAAATTTTATATGAAATTTAGGGGTTAAAATAAAATTTTATCTTTTTATTAAACCTTTTTATATTTTTAATTTTGTAAAAAAAATATAAATTTTATGAATTTAAATTTTTTAAAGAAAATATATAAATATTTTTCAACTTGTTAACTATATATATATATATATAATAAAGACAATTTGGTTAAATATACATTCCAATAATTTTTTTATTCTTTTAACCAAACACAGTAATCTTACATTCCTACTAAATCAACCAAACACAAAATATAACATTCTCAGTAATCCTATTTCCTAGTAATCTTACATACCACTGATAATTTTACATTCCGTGAACCAAACGCACCCTAAAATAAGATGCAACTCCAAGCTAATCAACATCTTCCATCCCACTCTTCGAGCCATTCTCAATTTTGAATAATTTTGGAGAATGTTATTAAAATATTCAAAATGTTTGAATTAATTTAGAATGAAAGTCATAGTTTGAGAATAAATTTAAAATGTTCAAAATTATGAACCAAATATTAAACAAGGATGAATATATGATTTTATGTTATCACTGTGAGTTATATTATAAATCTAGAAATGTAAAATTTTATAAATACAAAATAATATTACCAATAGAAAATATTTAAATTATGTAGAGATTTAAAATTTTATCCATATCCATTCTCGGGTTTAATAATTAATTTTGATGGGTGAAATGCTAACGAGTTTGAACCAACATAACATTAAACATTAATTTTGATGGGTGAAATGTTATCGTTGTATGTAAAATGGACAAAAAATTTTTACTTTAATAATTTAGGTTAATTACTGGAAACATTATTAACCGTAATAACATAACAAGTTGCGCATAAAATATTATAAACGGTAAGAAAATAAGTTAATTATTTATTTTGTTATTAACATTTTCAACATATTAGGTTGCGTCTAATACATCATGAGAGTTTAAACTGATGGGGCCTTTGAAATCTCACAACAAAAAAAATAGGTTAATTACTTATTTTATTATGAATATTATCAATAAATTAGGTTACGCCTAAAATATTACCAAAGTTGAAGCTGATCTGACCTTATAAATCACACGACAACAAAATTAGTTAAATACTTATTTTGTTATAAATAAATATTAACATATTAGGTTG